AAAAAAAAAAAAAAAGGGAACCAGTGTACTTATGTTAAAGCAGTTTCTTTAAATATATCCTGAACTACACTGCAGGTTTCTGCCATTCTTTTATTTCCCCTAAAGATCAGAATGTTACTTTAGATACAACACAGCTTCAGCTCATTTCCTCCTGTTCACAGATGCTTTTTTGCAGTTTTTAAATTGTGTCCTTCTTTTTTGTCCCACAGCTGGAAAACTGACATATGAAGCTGTTATTTGAAAATTAATTAAAGCAGCTTAAGCCATTTTAATTCGATCTGGGCAATATGGTTTAAGTCAGCGGGGATATTTATGATATCAGTGAATGAATTAAAGAAGGTATGATCCATCCTAACGTGTAAAATGTGTTATAAAGTACAACTTGGAGAATTTTGCCAAACAATACAACAGTGTTTCCACAAATACTGAATCGGTCCCTAAGTCTTAGGTCGAAGTCACATGGTTCAATTATATCACAGCAAAGTTTTGTTTTCATTCATCTTAAAAAATCTATGTCAGATTTACAAAATGGTATTTCAGCATTGAAAATATTAAAAAATATTCTTACTCGCAGGCAACATGACGGTCAGTGAAGACATGATCATGTATTTTGGGGATTTGATGAAGTTAAACAATTTCTACTAACTGATTCATATTAGCTCTTACACGAAAACATTAATTGAATCCATAATCAGGTAGATTCAGATAATTAGTAAATCATGTATCATCTGTTCCACGTGTGTGAATAAACCTTTCTGTGAATAGAAATAACAACAGATTGATGCTCTTTGCTCTTACAGCTGGTTTCTGAATGTGAGAGTGGAATAAATTCTAAATACCTTCACTGGGAATCAGTTTGTGGTTCAGTTTCAGATCACAGGTCACGGGGACGTCAGTCAGAAGTTGGACGTGTTTGAGAACTAACAGGTTTCAAGCTCAAAGGAACTTTCATGTTCAACAGGGAAAAGACAAACAGCAAAAACTTGTCCTGAAACTGAAAACGTTATTTCTGTGTACCCAGACTAAAGATGTACTTAGCTCCAAAGATGTCCTTGTAAATAAAACCATGTATGAGATTTAAGTTTTGATTCTCTTCAGCATTGGTCCATCAAGTCCTATCACATGTTAGATCGTACACTCTGAGGATTCAAGGGGAAACAACAGATTTTATAGTTGCCAATAGATCATTTTTTAAAAATTGGATAGAGGGAGAAGATGTATGAGGAATATGTGCATGAAGGCACGAAGTTAACATCCACTTTCATACTAGTAACACTTTAAGACATCTCCATTCATGTTCAGGACAATTCACAAGTCAGAACTAATAACAACTTTACTTTTGGGACATAAACAGATTTGTTTGTCCTTTTTTTTTTACATAAAGCGGGTGAAATAAGTAAATACATGAAAATAAATCTCTTTTTGAGGTGACAATGCCTGAGGGGATGTTGATGAAGAGGGCTTGAGGATTTTTGATGCTCGCTGGCAGAACATGACTTGAAAGCATTTCTGTGCTGCAGCTTCTTATTGCTTTTGTTTAGCTTCACATGACAAATTATATACAATATATTTTCTCTCTGTCTGTGATAAATTTGCATTCACTAACATCTTTTAATTATTTTTTCATTATCAAGAATGTGTTCTAATTATAAACGGTGTTCAGTCGCGTGTATTAGCCTGAAACCACCATCATCATCATATAATTAGCAAACCATGATGTAATTCTCACTCTGCTGCTTCCCAGTAGGAAAAACTATCCAGGTCCTTTCCCACGCTACCCAGTTCTCCAGTCGTCAGTTTGAATCACTTTACTTCAGGCTTTAATAAAATGATTGTAGGTTTCGCTTAAGGTTAAAGTCTAACATCTTGTTAAAAGGTTCTGTACTTTAACCATCAGGATGAAATGAGTTGAGTTCAAGGCCAAATGACCAGGGCAGAGTTTCTCCTCCGCTACGTCTAATGTTTCTGTGGAGGAACGACCGCAAGAAAACAGCAACACCTTCTATTCGGTGCAACATCCAATCAGTACAATGTGGAAACCACTATTTTCCTTTCTGATTAAAGAAAACAACTATGAAACGGAGAATAAACTTTGTTTGATACGGTTTTGAATTTGGCAAATTTGCCCTCATAAACCTAAGACCTGAGTTTTTGTTTATGTTTGAAAAAAAAACAGAACTTCAATCTCATCAGAAAACAGGTGTGAGAGCGATTTTTATCTACTTTAGAGCCTTTTGGCAATTTCTAACTGAAAGCCTCATAAATAATAAGTTGTAAAATCTCAAATGCATTTGATGAACTCACATAAGCTGCTTTCAAACATGCACTGGACATTTTCCTGAAATTATCCAGAAGAGTCAGTTGCTGCAGACTTTCTCTGGAGTTCATGTGAGAGAATTAATCAGGAAATCGTCCAGAGAATTCACCACGAGCGAGTGGGCGAGTTGATGACGCTTCTAACACGCGGTGGACGCAGAACTGGAAGAATACAAATATCTCAGGATGAAAAAAAGAGACAGACAAAGACGTCAACGTGGAAAGACAATGAGATTCGAGAGGTTTTGGCGACAGGGCCGACACAGATGTCGATGTGCTGTAAAGAAGAACACGTGGATTGTTTAAAGTAATTTCCTGCCTCCTGCTGCTCTACCCAGGTGTCACTACTTATCTGAGCGCTCCGGAAATGTTCCCGTTGCCGTGATAGCGTCTGACTTGAACAATCTCTAGCTGCTTTCTTCAATGTCTGGACCCAATTCTCTGGAGTCCATTTCTAAAAACTGCTGCAGTGAAAATAAAAATGACGGCCCACATATTTTGGAGGCCCCAGTGATGCAGACGCTTGGCAGGAAGTCACACTGCTTTCCTTTTCAAATCAAATGGACATTTGCGGTGTATTGAAGAGAGACACAGGAAAAGACTGCTATCAAAACCACATTTTTTCATTTTTATTTTTTCAATGCTTAATACCATGGTACAGGATTTTAAGAATGGAGACCTAATTTCAGTCAATATTTGCCTTAGAAGGAATATATGCTTTGTATAATAATAATAATATTAATAATAATATAAAGTCTGCATCGGTGCTGTGAGGAAAAGGAAAGGACAGAGATGAATTAGAAGGAGGAGGCACCTATATCCCCAGCTGGACCTGAACATTCCAAGACAAGAAGTAGAAATTACAAACTGAACAAATTTACTTCAGAGGCAATCCAGCAACAGGTAGCAAGGTCATCGTGATGGAAGTTCTTTCCTTTTTTTGTTTAAAAGGATTTAAAACAACATTTACAAGACACCTAACATTCCATTCAATTCCTATTAAAAACAACAGAGAGAGAGAGAGAGATAAAAAAAATCTAATCTTTTGACTGCCTCTTGCCCATGGTTCACTCTAGGTGCATCTTCCATGTCGACAGTATACATCTTTCATTGTCCCGCCACATTACCTGTATAATCCAGCCATCAAAAAACAGAAATCAAAAAAAAAAAGAAAAAAGGGAGCAATCACTTTTTGTCGCCTCTTTTTTTTCTCAACTCTCTGTGTGTACTAACCGTGTGAGATTGTAAAAAGGCGACGCCTTCACATGATGCTGTACAGATGTGTTCACTGTAGGCCACACTACCAATGATATGGCAAAGTCAACAGAAAGACTTCTTTGTTTTTCCAGGCCTGTTTTGATTCCGGAGCCGGGGTGGGTGATACGGCTGGCATGCATCTCCCAGTCTACAAGATGAACTTCCCTAAGAAGAATCCGATGAAGATGGCTGCTATGACGACGAGGAGAGAGGGCAGGGAGGCGGTGGTGGCTTCTCGGCCGAGGAGGCTAGTTGAGTTTGTCGTCATGTGGTCTGAGCGGGGAGCCTTTCTCATTCTAATACCATCGTCCTGTAAAATAAAAGAAACAGTATGAGGAGAGGGAGCATGAGGGCACTACCTCCACCTAGTAGGTTATGATTTACTTGTTAGCACAAAAGCTAATAAATCAATTAGCAATTTTACCACAGGATCATTTGTGTTTGTTCTCGTTTGGCGTAAAACGCACAATTATACTTCAATCTCTTGTAAGATTTAGTTTCTTCATGAAAGCTCATTTCCGTGACATCGAGTGAAACAAACTGATTCTTTTCTGGTTTTTATCTTGACGTCTAAGCTAGCCGGTCACTTTCACTACAGATATGTGTTACCCTTAGATTTTATAAAAACATGCCAGCTTTGTCCAGTGAGACACTTACAGGCACTACACGACTAAAATAAAATCAAAAGGTTGATTAATTGATTCATCAGACTGACGACTCCGGTGATTTCCATTCATTATATTCCAATTTTAAAAAAATGAATCCTGTTGCATCTGTGATTGGTCAGAAATAAATTTTCAGTAGAACTCAAAGGTTAAGAGCTATATTTAGCCGGTGATGTCACAGCTTAAACAGAAGAACATGCTAAACCCCCAAAAACTGTGACAACTGGTTTTAGTTCCATCTCATAAAATAAAACAAGTACAACAGAGCTACAACATCTCATCATATTACAAGTATTATTTTTCAACATGTCTGACCTTTAGTTGCCGGTTCTCCTCAACCAGCTTGTTCATCTCAGCTTGCAGCCTCTTGCACTTCTCCTGCACTTTCTTCATCTCTGAATCGTCCTGTGGGGCAGCAGCTGGCACCGAGGCCGCTGTTGGATCGGCCTTCACAGAGTTCATCACCCCGGTCGTTTTGGTCGCCTCCACGTCATTCTGCCAGACAGGGAGAGAAGCACTGAAGTGAAATCCAGCGTGCCCTGAGCTAAGTAGGGAGGTTAGCCTCTAGACGGGTTGCCCGAGCCAAAGAAAGGCAGCGTTGTCCTGAGGCCCAGAAGCTCCGATCAAAGAGACCGGGGAGGAAACGCGTCCCTCCAGAAGTCATGTTTGATGTGGCTTTGTGTTGTGGGGCAGACAACATGACGTCAGGGGGAAACAGAGCCTTTGTCATGAAAATACAACTACTGCATTGTAGATGAAGGCTGACAATCAATGCACGGACAGGATGTGATGTCAGGTTCTCTTGTGCCAAAATACAAGGCAATCATTGACGTACTGTATAATCTTATTGGTTTTTAGACTAAAACAGTAATAGCAACAGAAAACACGTTGGATCATACTTCATAAGAACTGTCAAACTCGACACAATTAACACTGAGATTTTCTGTTGGAGAGAGTGACCCATCTAAAAACTGACAGCTACATACTTCTACTGCCTTTAGTGTACGTAACCAACAGACTGTCTATTCTAGTGCACATACAACCCCTGAATCTCTATACTCACTAAAACTAAATACTTTCATTTGATGGATATTAGCATGTTTTACTGTCGATTCATCAAAAAGAAAACAAGACAAGACTCAATAGTTGTTCAGACACTGATGTAAAACCTTGTAGTAATTCAGCTGCACACTAATTCAATATTTGCATTTTTAACACCTCTTCTGAATAAGCATTACAATAACTCTAATATGACACATCATTTCCATCCTATAAGGTTACATACTCAACATGTTCCACATGACATGCGTGCTACGTGTGCCGAAGCTGAATAAAGAGCGTACTGACTCAGCAGTCCACAGTTTAGTGTGAGCTAAATATGGACAGTCCTGTTGGCACTTTCACCTGAACTGTGAGCTCCATTAAATAAAGGCCCCCCGGTGCTCACTTCACTCACATATAACATAAATCAACCAACATGATACAATAAGAGTTTAACTCATTTTACTTCAGCAGCTGGGTTTGGTATAATGAGATATTCTTCAATCTTCCTCTGTGAGGGCGTCTTCTGTTGTTCTGTCATTTGTTCTAAGCTTTTATTTATTCTGCCATCTCTTTTCTGAGTACTTTAAAAAGCACACCGCCTATCAAGAGTTTCATTATAAAGTCAATCTGACTTTATTTGATATTCTGAGCAACATATATGTATATTTTTCAAACTGTATCACAATCCCTGTCGCTGTCAACCCTCTGTTGAGCTGAAAACATCTTCACTGCCATTTACCACCTCTGACCCACTTAGTGGTCAAAAAGCACAGAGTTTCACAATGGTTTTCTTCGGGGTTGTTTGCAAAGCTGATAAATGACATTGCATTGACAAATATTTCAGCTGAGGCTCAAGAAAAGAGCGAGTACGCCAAGAAACACACGTGCAGAAGAAAAACATATGGAGGTATGGTTTCTATATTTTTCCCGCATGAGACCTGATTGGCCAGCTTTTCCACTGGGAGTGCACTTTCTGCTAATTTTACATTATAGCAGCGGATTTTCCCCCAAAGTTTTGGCTTCTATTAGAAGCTTCGCTACTCTGGCTATCTTCAAACTTCAGTATTCAACGCAAGTCCATGGACAGATTGAAGGGGTATGATTAAAGTCATGTGAAAATGAGCCGTTTTTAATGTGCAGCAGCACCTCTTACCACTTTATCATTTTCAGAAGGCAGCTCGAAGACACATCTCAGCTTGGAATCCATGAGATCATCAGGTTTTGCATCTTTCCACTGGAGGAGTTGAAAAATGGGCATGTTATTTATCAACTCAAACTGCTAGCAGCTGGAATCTATCCACACACACACGCCAATTCAACCTATTCCATGGTGTTCACATTCAATGCAGCCCTGAATCTATAGGAATTACATTTACATAAAACATGCACAGCTTCGTTAAAAACAATTAAAACCTCAGACATTCTTTCCTGCAGAAAAAAAGCCACAAACTGTCCAAAGTAAACATTTTTCCCTCCATCTGGTTTTAGTGTCTGTCTGTTGGAAACACAGATGTAAATTTACACAGAGTCATTTCCTAAACTCTGAGACATTATTTTCCTGATTTTATACAAACAATTAAATATTTACAGATTTACTCTATGATGCAGCAAAGGGATTCATGTGCGTCACTAGTGAGAAGTGTAACTCAGAATGCCTGCAAGTGTTTATCTGATAATTTCATGACTTTACTGGTTTTCAGTTCATTTATCGGTACCAGTCAGACCTTTGTTCTTCTTCACTTCCTCATTCAAGACAAGCCACTTCATGTACAAGACTCCAGGGTATGTTACATGTTTTATTGACTGACTGAGCCTCTGCTGTCCTCTGGTGGACGAATGGAGAAAGTCATCTCAATTTGGTTTGAAACAGGTTTCTCCAAGTGCACAGAGCTTTGTCTGTTTTAATAAGAACACAATGTCAGTACATTCCCAAGGTCCATGACTAACTTCTATTATCTATTGTGTATGGATTAGGGTCACTTGGCTGTTCAGACTGATCAGTATCTGATTTCGAGCTACTTATGAAAGTGGATTCCATGTCATTCACACAGTCATTAAACAATCAGATCTTGGTCACAGAATATACATAATGAGCTAAGACTGGTAATGTGCTTTTGTCAAACACGTTGAAAAATAAAATCACTTACCAATGCATCCATGTCAGAAACATTTGGTGGGGCGAAAATAGTCTGCACCATGAATTTGTGTTTACTTTTCTCGTTGGGGTCATAGTCAAAGGGCTGAAGCATGACTGGGAACAGACAGACGGAAAGATGGGTTTAAATACTGGTAGAGGACCGATTATTTGGTCTGAAAACGAATGAAGCGTATGTATGGCATTTTGAGATGATCAAGTTTAGCTAAAGTGAGTTTAGATACACAAGCAAACAGACAGGGCACATTTTATATTTTATACTGTGTTTGAATGAATGAGACAGAAGAGTTAGAAATATGTTCACACATTAATTTTGTGTCTCACTTTATTTTGAAGTTGATGTATTTTATAACAGGCAAAAAAACAACTTACTATCACATTATATAATCAGCCATCAGCTGCCCTGCTCTTGAAGTGAGTGTACCTCGTAGCTTACATAAACTCAAGCTGCTGCACACATTTCACTTCAGTAACACGAAACACTGCGACAGAAAATTCCCACAACGCAACCTAACATAATAACAATCTATTATGAACCAAAAACCAAGTTACAGTAGCCAGATCAAGGCTAATTTGACCTTGAAAAGCAAAATGAAACCCAATTTTCCCACAGCTACATTTAAATGCAAAACAATCAAATTACCAAAGCTAATCAGTAAGGTAATTAAGGTGTTAAGCTTGAGTGCTTTACAGGCTGCACCATCACTATTCCTGTTTTCATGGAGAACAAAATTCAGATTGTTGATTTATTTGGGATTCACATGAATAAGACGTCCACATCCTTCTATGATCATGATCCTTCTGATTATACGCTTGATCACGTTAATACTTTGATAAGTGACGTAGGTTCTACATGAATTCAACTAACTTAAACTAGAAAAAGGTTAAGTTGAGTCAGAGGACAATCATTACCTGGGCAACAAGTTACTAGCTCTAGTAAACTGAATTATGGCTGGATTACTGCTGTGGATATACAGGTGTAACGTAGTGAGTAAAATAGTTTCTCTGTTGTTTTGCTTTGACAGAAATTAGATATTTACAAAAATGTCTCTATTTCAAGGGTTTAAAATATCATCCAGTGCAGCAAATTCCTTTTTGGAAATGAATTTGGCCATTTAACTCTCATCTGATGGTGGACAGGTTTCTGTCCAGATATTATATCGACACTAATGCTTTCAAAATTAAGCGAATTTGGCAATTTAAAATTAAATATCTATTTTGTGGAGTCTATCCTTAAGAGAGCAAACCAATACAAAGGACACACTTGTATGCATATTAATTTCAACAAACATTTCTTCGAGATGATGGTGTGGATCTGAACATCAGGCCATATTAATATGGGTTTTGAGATGTGCCCTGAGGTTGCTAGTGCTGTAAGAGCTTGGGAGGTAGTGTTGCATTTATTTGCACTATATTAAATTTCGCAATCTGTTATTTTTTAGTTTAAGAATTCAATATATCAAATTTTGAATAAAGCTTCAATGCAGCAAATGTTTTTTAACAATTCACTTATATCATCAAATCCAGAACAAAGTTCAATCCAACCAACCTGTCCTACATCTCCCCAACCCCATTTCCCTCAAGTTTCCCAGTGTCTCTTTTGAAGGGACATTTCGGATATTGAAAATATTTAATATCACAAAAAATGATTAAATAATAATAATTAAATGGCGTTTTTTAAGTCTCACAACTTACCAGAGATGTTGACAGTTGCTCCAGGATCAATGACGCCACTGTTTGGTCGTACACAGTACCTGCGGGGTGCCGTTGTCTTCACTTTGAAACACACTCTTCTGTCAGAGGGGTTCTTCAGTTTGAGGTTGGTGGTAACTACATCTGTGAAAGGACCTGATGGACAGAATGACAAGCATCTTGTTACTTATGATTCTCCTATAGGTTCACCAAAAAAATAAGTATTACAGCCTTAAGGTTATAAGCTTTTGTGCTGGGATTCAGCATTTCTGAGGTATCGCTGTGACGAGGTCAGAAACAGGATCTCGGTTCAAAAGATATACAAGAAGAGATTTTTCTCTTGGTGGTGGTCTTCTCTATGATTGACAGAAAACCTGCACTAGTTACATCACAAAGGGGCTGAGGGGTTCATGCTCCTGTATGAAATTGTAATAACTTTAGGAAATGGCTAAATTTAAAATACCAGATGATGGGGTCTAGATGTGTTGCATGTTCAGAGTGAAAGTGCAGAAATTCAGTGTTTCAAGTTACAACCCTCGTCTCTGGGAGGAACACAGACTGCAGTGTTTTGGTGCCAAAGTTCAAAAAGAACTAAAACAAATTTGATGCACAACACTGTCGGGCTGAAACTCAATTTGGTCGACATAATCAACAGGGCTAATGTAATAGTGAAATCCTGGGTTTAAAACTGGATGCCAGGAAACCTTTACTGTTAATATCCTGAAAACAGAAGATATGAAGATACTGGGCCATCGCTAATTTTGAGCAATTAACATTTGATAACATTTGTCCTCCAGCAGTGTCACCTGTTGCAATATTAAAAAAAGCATCATAACATTTACTCGCCATAAATACAAGCATGAGGCATTCGTGATGACTTGGATCTCCAATTCAACCCTGGCTCCCGCTCCATGTCTCCCACAGGTCAAACAAATCGATTAGGTCTCTACAGATAGCTAATTTTATAAAGATGTCCCATGTTCATATTGGAAATTACAGTGGTGCCCTACCCATGTCAATATATCAGGAGTTAGCGTTCCATCTTGTGACAGAGCTGGCTTCATATTAGGTCCTTAACCATGGTCAGCATCGTCCAGCTTTGATGAGCCATGTCATGTGGAGAACAACTGGATGCCAAATCAGAGATACCCCCAAACTCGATCAACACAAATTAGCATGGAAAAAACATGTCCCATGATTAGCTGTTATCACAGCATGGGTGCTATGGTGCGGTCTGCTGATTTCACTTGCAACACAATTTACCAATTGTCCATCAAGCATTTCTATTATGTCACAAATTCTACATGGCTTCGGTTTGATGGAAAATTTTGTCTAACCAGTGGAATTTAATAAATGGACTGTTATATCAGAATTTCATTTAAATATTTTTGAGGCCAAAATAACTGACAATATTAATATATCTATAGAGTCTGAGACGTAATACTAACAACAAATGATAATACCATCAGTCAGTTTTATCTTGTNACAAACAAACACTGCCAAGTACATTTTAAAGAACCTCTTTAATGTTTTTGTGGACAGTATAGTCAGTGTGGCACTTCATTCATTTTGAATTATCACTGTTGTCTACAATGTAGACGTTCCATTAGATTTTAAAACCACATGAAAGGAGGTATAGTGGAGAGTCTTCAAACTGAGTCAAATAATATTCAAGGTATTTACGCTGACTAATGGAAGTGTCTTTCCTCCCAGTTAATTAAATTCGTCATGCTTGGTCTCCAGGCTTTAATAATTATAACAAAACAGTGAGGGGTATTAGGAATCCCTCAGTCTTGGTTGCCTCGACTTTCCCTGTTATCTGCTTCTGGCCTTCAAAGAGAGAGAGAGAGAGAGAGACGGAGAGGGACTCTGATAATGGAGGGAAGGAAGTGAGAAGAGAGGGGAGGTGAACGAGGGGGGGAATGAGAAAAGAGGGAGAGGATAAAACATGCACTTGCAGTGTCTTGTCTTCCATCCAATCTTATTTTCAGCTCGAATTATTTTTCATTAGCGGTCATCACAGACTCATGATTTGCAGCCGCTCACAACCTGTCCTTTCCTCCTCTGCCATCATATTCACTCTATTGTTTCACCCCAACACACCACACAGTTATATAAAGGTATATATACACATAGACACATATATCCCGTCCCCTCCTATCCTTCTCTTCTCCCTTTGATTCTCCTGCCAAATTTAATTAAGTAAAACAAGTACAAACCCTCCCAAGGGGGGGTAAACGCAAATAGCCTCTTTAAAAAGAGATGTTTCAGTTTATAGCTTGTGTGGGAGTCCGTGCACTCATGAACATATTGGATGAGAATGGACATGAGACGAGCGGCAGCAGGGTAGGATCATCTTTCTGAGGGGAAGTAGTTAAGAAACCATCAAACAAGTGATTCAGGAAACACATGCGGGCAAAAAAACCCAATCATAGCCTTCCACAGTGATAAATGACACTATATATGAGTGCAATAATAGAGTTACACATCAGCTGTCGTGTAGTCACCAGAACCTGTTACTGTTAAACCCCTGCACACAGTCTTCACACACAAATCTATTTCATATTTCCACTGCTGACACTTCTGGAATTAAATACCACACACTTAGTCCCCTGCTGCAATTGCTTGTTTAATGGAAAATACACAATGGCACTAAAAATACAAAAGGACCAACCAAATTAGTTTTATAATCTGCCTTATTTACAGAGGAAAGCTGTACTGCATCAGTTCTCATACTTTGTAATCACAATTTAGTTTTTTCTTTATTTTGGTTAAATTGTAAAAAAAATTGCAAATGATTTAAGCTCAAAATTATGATAGATGAAGATAGAAGCTAGCCTAATTTTCCCATTAATGTATTCAATCACTATCATTTTTCACAGAAATATCATTGAATAAAAAGTCATTTCATTTGAGCATTTATAAAATGTATGACTCAATGTGGACAAACACACAACACTGCGCTGCTTGTGGTGCAACACTGATACAGAAACAAAGTGGAGGAGATAAGACGGAACGCATCAGGTAATTTGGTTGTTTTTTCAAAGTTACGGTTCCAACTTTGAGCCAATGAGTCTGTCATTAGAAAATAAGGGTCGTGTCAGTTTAACTTAACCTTCAGATTACTGAGGATCCCACCTGTATACAACAGAGGATCCAGTCTAACTTATTAGAGTTAGAGGTATGTATTTACTTGACTGTAATAAGAAAATATACTACTTAACATTAACTGTCTAAGAAATTAAACTGTTTAAAAAAATCCTACTTTCTATGCTTTCATTTTACAACTTGGCGGACTTCACAAACCCAACATTCACCTTTCCTTCATGACCCCTGCTCAGAGAGATAAGAAGCAGTGCATGACCAGATTGGAGTGGCTCCACCCAGCTAAAGCCAACATGTAGAATTATGGTGATGACTGAGGCGTTGTTTTCAATGGTTACATCACAAAGGCATTCCGAGAAACCTGAAAAACCTCACGGCTGCTGCATAACATCTGATATTTCCACCCATGGCCTCTGCTTCCAACACGTTTCATGAGACAAGGCCATCATGGCCAATATGTGGTTATTTTGAAATAAACTTGCAAAAAGGTGATAATCTTGAACGTTGAAGACACAGTGCCTTTACTTTTCACGTATTTTCTAGAAGTGGGACATTTAGATACGAAAATGTGATTTGACGCAGTTCAAAAGAACACGGCAGGCATGATAATTATAACCTGTCAAACATCTGAGCTTGTAAACCATACCTCCTGACTTTGGACATGCCTGAAGCATGTCTGTGGTCTTGTATCTGCACGTAGGATGAACAGGAAAGAGACACTTGTGGATAATGCACCACACACACAGAATTATCAAGAGTACCTGTTCTTTAAATGAGAAAATGTCTGAAGAGGTAAAAGACACTGAGTACTTTTTTTTTCAACAATCTTCTGTCACAAAAACTCAAAAGACACAGACTTAATGCAACTGGGAAATGTCTTCTGCAAAGATTTACTTGAGTTTGGGTTGAGAGACGGTGAAACACTGATAGACAATGACGTCATCAATTTGGGGGATGATTCGCTTAACAAATATATCGGGTTGTGATCAAGAACAGCCGTGGCCTTAGATGATTTCCATTGGCAAACCTGAACTCGAAAAAGCCTTTACTATGGGGGGTTCATGATGACTGTCATCCATCAGCAATAGATGATAGCATCGTCCATCAGCCTAACTGTACTGTGAACATCACTAAAACCAAGACTATAACAGATACAACACTGGAAAGCAGTTGTGCGCATCACATATACACCCACACAGCCTGCATCCACTGCCCAACTCAGAGATGCCACCTTTGCTCAGGCAGCGTTCTCTCATCTTGTTCCATGTATGCTGAGTTAGGGTCCCCCAGGCCAGTCCTGTTCTAAAAATATCAGCCAAGGAAAGGAGGGCTGCCCCTCAAGCTTGCTGGAGGAATCCCAGCAGGCGCTCTAAAACAGACCAGCTCTCAGATACACACAGACCAATTTAGCTCCATCTCTGTGACAGCCAAGGAGCTGTGGTCATTTTCCTCCTCCTCATATCGCCTCGCAGAGACCACCAAGTGGAACCATTTCATTTTCCACTGTGTTCATTTTCAAACCGCCTGATTCCCGTCCATTTCAGTTAAACTCAATTAAGCGGTTTGGTTTAGATTGAATCAATTGCACATTTAATTTCATGCTGGATCAAACAAGGGGTGAACAAGTCTGTGCCAAGGGACAAAAATCAAACTCTTTGAATTACACACGGTACTTAGCTCCGAGCATGAATACATGAGGTTAGACCAGGACTATTGTACTAGAGAAATATATTTACCAGCTGCGACAGCTGTGCTACTATTAAGGTTATGTGTGGTTCTGTGATCATGAAGAAAAACATGGTCCTGGAGGCTGCTACTGTATTGGGCGCTAGTAGTGAGGCAGTTTTGACTTTGGCAGGTGTCTCTGTGTCTGCAGACAGATTTTGACCCTTCAACATTTACAAAACTTTACAGGTGTTAGAAGATGGATGTGGCCTGACCCATGAGAGCAGAGTACTCACAGAATAATATGTAAACAACTTCCGGCACCATCACTGGTGTGTTCCCATTGAGTTAGGGTGCTTGATTTTAATCTATTTTGCATTATAGTTTGAATTTCTTATTAAGATATTAGTATCTGTTGGGATTTTCTTCCAGGGCAATAAAAAATTAATTGTTGATCATTTTTACTTACAGTTAACAGTTAAACTGTATCAGCGTTATCTTTGCAATTCAGCCTTGCATCCAATCCAGTACACAACAGGGTAAAAGTTTAATCTGATGAGGGGAAAATGTAAACCCTGTGACTGGCCGGTAATCAAAATAAGTCAATTTCTTAATAAGGTAAAACAAGCGGGGGACGGAAGAACATTAATTTATATATTTGGGTTTATCTCTTGATCCCAATTTAAAATCTGTATCGAAAAACAATTGAATTGAGCACAGCAGCAGACATCTACATTAGTCTTTCCACAGACTGAAGGAAGGGTGAGCCCGAACTTGATCACATTATCAAATCTAAAGTCTGTATTCATAAAGTCTACAATTTAACTTAAATCAAAAGAAAGTGTATTTATTAACATTCTTTCATTGCATTTAATGCCTATATACAAACACTGTCTGCATCTTGATGTGTGACTATTCACCACAATTCCTGCACCTAATAATGCAACCACCAACCCAACAGAGACAAGAGGAAACACTTCTCCTGACTTGAAATGAATATAGTCAGGAGAATGTCATACAGGTTTTAGCATCTCAGCATTTGACATCAGGTGTTAAGTCTTAACGGTGCACTGAGACGTGACAAATCAGTTTCACGCAGGCCACCTCATCACCAAAACATTTAATGACTGAGACCATCCTAACCCATAGCTGTCCTGTGGATCAGGTTTTTGAACCGTTGACCTTTCTAACAATTAAGTCAAGTCCAAACTACAACCTTTACCCACTCAGACCTAGTCTTGGTGAAGAATCAACCTCTCAGAAACAACAAGACAATACGCAGAGTGATCCTGAGACAGTGGTGCATTCAGGTTAAGTGTCTCATTGGGAACAATGAGTCCAGTGGGGACATCAACCAGGACAATTACAAGGAATGCAGAGAGGTTAGGAGTCAGAATGAATAATGACTGAATGGATTAATAGCAGAGGTGGTTTCCTAATAATAAACTGAAACGTGTACATTGGCATCATTCACCCAAATCAATCACTTATCATCGGTCACTTATTTTAACACGAGCAACAGTTGGAATCACATGAATGTCACAAACTCTAAACTACACCTGTGGATTTCTCATGTGATGAGGATGTTGGTCTGTGCCACAGTGAATTACACAATAAGACCGTGTGTCGTTGCACAGGAGCTCAAAGTGTAGCTTAGACCATTAACTTTTGCATTAGCATGCTAGCCTAGCGAACGTTAGCTGGACGTTGTTGTCGCCGCCACAGCCACGAAATCGGTGGATTTCAAATGAATGGATTACAGTGGTCTGATGTGAAGCAATAACATCGTCCGGATCGTGTTTAATGAGATTGTACAGCTGATAGGATAAAGGAGAGAGGAGTCGGAGTTAGCATATCGCTGCTATTAACTGTTGGTGTTAACGTGACAATGTTAGCTTAGTTAGCTGAGTTTGAAAACCGTGACTGTGTCATTCCACCCGCTTGACATCTCGAAGTGAGTCGAAGAGGTGTGTCGGGTCGGACGATTTCATTGTCGCTAAAAAAAATAAAAAAAGTTAATTTCCTCCTAAATAACGTCCGGGTTATTAGCAGTGAGCACAGTTTTGCTAATGCTAATGCTAGCAGAGGCGTAGCAGCTCGTGTTTCTGCTGAAGTGACGCGACTAAAAAAAAAAAATAAAACCACGGCGTTCACTTTTAATTCCGCCCAGCAGCCACGGACAGCCGCCCCGCGTCCCTCCGCCGCTTCCCCGGGGGCTGTCACGGGCGGCAGGGCCGGACAGAGGGGGCACACGCCACGCCGGTTCCTCCACGTCACTACAGCGCGAGGATCCAGCGGCCCCGTCTCGTCGCTGGCTAACTTTAAAATGGCGGTGGGCGCTAGCTAGCGTGCTAGCAGCGCGGCTGGCTTGTGCGTTCGCCCCAGTCGGGCAACGCAACCCGCGGGGTCCACGCACCTACCTTTGAATTTGAGGTCGACGGGAGGGTCGAGGACGAGGATCTGGTCCAGCTTTGACATGGCTGAAGCTGCGGGGAGGGGTGCGCTGGGTGTCGGGGGAGAGAGCTGACAAGTGGAAGTGCTGGATCCCCGCTGCCACCGCTGAGTCAAACGCTGACTGAGCTCCGCCAGCGAATCACCGTACAAATACTGGGACGCGCGGGTGCACGAGGCCGCCGCCGCTGCTGCCGCTGCCGCTGCCTCTGCTGCTGCTGCGCGCCCACGCGGCTCCTGATATGATTATATACAGTAAACGAGTTAAACCGCGGCGCACAAACACCTTATGAAATGACACGAAGCCTGATGTGACCCTCGCATGATTCTCTGAGCAGCGACAGAACCACTCACTTGTTTATTCTCAGGCTTTATTTAGTACTTTTTTTTTAAAGTCATTGATGAGAATATCATCTCCATTCCAGTGATATGTGGTTTTAAAACCTTCACTACTTTTAAAAGTTGTTCTTTGGGTTAATGAAACTTCTGATACCTCTAACTGTGATATTCCATCATTTCTATACAAACCACTACAGTGAAAGGTGAATTTAATGTACAATTTTTACTAAATCTTTACTTTTTTTTAAAAAATCTTTCTGACTTGCTCAGAGTTACTCCGTCCGAAACTGTGAAATATAATTCTTACAGTTTGCATCATTCATGCTCATTGAAAAGTTGCATCTTATCAAACTTACCTTTCTTTCTCCGTGTCAATAAATCGACACACATCTTATCGCTCTCGAGGCTGGTTGCAAAAAAACTGACTTTGGTGGAGCAAAATCATATACTTTTATTTTAATAAAAACTAAAGTAAAAATAAGTAAGAGGTAAATTGCTTTTCTTTTTTCGTTTGAACTATATATATCCCACTATACTCTTTGTCACCACTGACACTGTTCAGATCATGACCCTGTGGAATGCCCCTTTCCGCATGTAATTTGTCCTGTTTACACAAAGGCCGTGTTAACATACATGAACATGTACCAAAATAACACAAGGTAATTTATTAAGTGTATCTAATTTTGGTTTCAAATCTGAAAGGTTGTGGGAGAGCACTGTCACTTTATAAAAAGCTTTTTATGAAAGGGTTCAAATGAGAGCAGCGTGATAGGCTGTTCAAGGTAAAGTGATAGAAGCAAGGTCAACTCTTTCACATAATGCAATTTTGCAGTAACGGGAACGAAGGCCTCTCCTGTACTGTGCAAACAAATTGTGTCATTTCTCACTGGGTATTTCGATTTCTGAGGCGCCATGGTGGGTAAGTGGAAAAGAGAACTATGCTCTCATGACGTCAGGGAGTTAATCCAAGTTCTGACCTTTTGTTAATGAGTTTGTCTCTCGCTCATCGTTCTGGTCTCCATCAACAAAAGTTAAAATATAGAATTATCTTCCCAGGGGGAGAGTAACAGAGAAAGAGGGGGGGAAAAGAACAATTACTTCTTTATTACATTGATTAAAATACAAAAGTTATAAAGAGGATACAAGGAAGCATGACTTAAGGCATACAGAATAAGGATTGCTGCAGGTAACTGTTATCTGTTATACATAGTCTGTACAGATTTAGTAATTCATGCATTATTCTAACAGTATGCACTTTTTAGCCATGTCATAAATTTGTTTAGAAAAACGAAGGCACTTGTGAGGAGCACATAAAGTTCTTGTTGGAAATGGCAACAAGTTACCTCACATGAAATGTCTTTTCTCAATGTCATTGTCTCAGTGTTAAAGTGAGGTCATGCATTAAAAAATCATCAAGCTGAACTGCTCGCTCTGGGGGTTACTACTGGATGATTGTTTTTCCCACAAAGCAAAGCCAAAGTAATTGGTAGATTTTTGAATGCAGTTTGATGTGACTTTGCGTACAGAACAGCATCTGTTGGTAAAATTCGACTATAACTGCATTATTAATTGAGCTCCGTTAACTGAGCTCTGTTAACCCATTAAGGTGGATAAAATTATACAAAGAATAAATGTAAACACGTTTTTAAGGTATTGAAATGTGGAACCAGAATACTGATAACATTTAAATCCATGTTGTTTGTCCATTTCAATCTATCAAACACTTTCGTTATGAAGTAACTGTAACTTTCAACATTTAAAACACTTGTAACTAATACTGTGGAATTGGTAGCAAAAGTGCTGTTCTAAATTTAAAGTGGTCAAATCCAAGAGCGACACTGCAAAAGAAAAAGCAGCAAACACGACACATAATCTAATATTTGCTAATTTTGCTAAGGGACTAATTTCATTTTTCACGTTTCCACTTTTTTGAACAAACATATTCCCATAATTCTTATAGATTTTGGTTAGTATACACAAAACACAACGTTTTTCAGGTAAAGATACTTCTTATGTTTGGCAGTTGTATACAGTCATTCCCTGTAGTGAAATCTCAAGACAACACTCTTCAGCACGTAGAAAACATCTTTAACAAACCACTATGTAAACAATCCTAGTATTGGTCACAGTGTTTGAACAGGGGGTATCACACCGCAAATACAATTAAGGTTAATTAGTTATTCTGCAGCAATACAGTCAAACACCCATGCAGCAAATGGACAAAGGAGTGGAATGTAAAGCTTCTGCATCTGAGCTACACAACTGAATTCTACTCCGAAGTTTGACCTTAACACCCCCTTTTTCATACATTCTAAAAAAAAGAAAAATTCTATATAATAAACACAAAAGCTCCATGAGAAGCAAAAGTGTAGACGTGATAAAAAAAAATGAATATAAAAACGTTCATTAAATGTGTTTGTGCAATTGAAGAGCCACAGTGCAATGAAAATCTACGGAGCAGATGACGTTCGAAATAAGACTGTAGGTGCATCAACAGCCAAAACCCTGGTTTAGGTGAATTGTAAATATTTTGTGTTAAATTGTAAAATGAATAAAGATAGAGGGATAAAACTGCCTTTTGTAATGAGCTTTGTGTTAAATAACTATAATTTTAATGTAATGCAGGCAAAATACCACCTGAGGGGGACAAACTGAATGTTTCGTGCTTCCTAACCTCATCAGACCTGAAACTGCCACAACTAAAAATCCATTGAACCCATTTTAATACTGCTGGTAGGTTTTCTGTGTCAGCTTTCAGGTGAACCACATGTGCAAGCTGACATCTGTCTGTCCACTGGCCTGTCTTTCACCTGGAGTAAGACACTGTGCATGTTGTGGACGATGAGCTGTGCCACTTGGGTCCCTGATGCTGAAGGAAGTCATCTCATCTGTTGGTACTAGCAGCATCTCCTGGCAGACAGAGCGGGCTGCCGGGTGAGTTGGAAGGATTCGTTGCTGTCCACCTCAGGATTTTCCAGAGGTGGAATCTGTTTACCTAAACAAACCAGGACAGGGTCACTTACAGAGCAGGTGTGTTGTGATGCTAAGTTAAAATCACGTTTAAACTTAAAGCCACCTCAAAATATCTCTTTTCAGTTGAACAGTTTACACACACACGATACCACCACAACAAAGAGACATGAAACTTACTGATTTTCTGAAAGAGCTCCTCAACATTGACAGCATTTCTGGCACTAGTCTCGATGAAAATAGCTGCAATCGATTCAGCAAACTCCTTTGCTTCCTTCATTGGAACTTCCCTGTAAAAGAGAGGGACACCAAAGTCATGAGTATAAACACGAAATACATGACGGGTATAACAAGAACCGGACTTAATTGTTTTGTTCACAATGACAAGGCTTTGTTGTGAATAAATGGCACAGACACGTTCGTCACTAAACCTGGTGGAGCTTTCTACTTAGAAAATCAGACCTGGTTTTAACATCTGTCCTGGGTGATCCAATCACAAGTGGTCAGCTCTGGGTACAGTTGTGAATGAGTCCAAATGTGTCCTCAATGTGTCTTGAGATCTGATTGCTCAGACCACATTTGGAGGTGGACGCATGTGGCCACATTTTTACAGCTGTGTAAATGCAAGTGCATCCTGGGCCACTAATGACATGCTACAGTTTCACAATGAATCTGAAGTATTCTTATACTTCTCGGTGCCTCTACGTTGATTTGGCTGTGGCCACTTTCACAATAGCAACACTGAGCAACACGTAATGATTTTTTTTTTCTAATGGGGTAAATCAGCACATTGATTCACTTTGTGTGCTGGTACACAGAGAGACACACACAATCATTGACAACAGACAAATCTTTAAACTGCACTCACTTAAACCAACATAATTGGATCTCAGTAAACGGAAATGATGTTTGTGTGTATATAGAGCGGGGGAGTGAGATATGATCACAAGCTCACAGAAAACAGATTCAGGACACATTTTAATGCCAGATGTGAACAGACAAAATTAGAGCTCTCCCCTTGTGACTGGATCGCTCAGGACAGATGTTAATACCAGGTCTGAACAGGGCCTTAAAGAAAGGGATGCAGTCATACAAGAGTCCAAACTCAGAGTTAAGTGAATCTGCAGGAGCAAATAAGGAAAGAAGGAAGTTTTTGCTGTTGTGAAAAGAAGCTCATGTTTTAGATTAAATGAGTCTGTCAGTGTCTCATAGTAAATAACATGTATCTTTATCACTAGAGTTGCAGAAATAAGAAAATCCTCCCACCTGATGTCTCCTAAATCGTTCTTGTTTCCTGCTATGGCTACGACAATGTCCTCTGGACCGTGTTCCTTCAGCTCCTTCACCCACTTCTTCAGTGTCTGGAAAGAGTCCTGAACAACAAGAACACATCACTGTCAACCCTGGGATGGCAGCATTGTGAGAATGTGCCCCACACTTCCTTCAAGTCTTGACACATACTCACGGCGTTGGATGGTATTTTTCAGACAAGTTTCCATGAGCAAACCAGGAAAGAATGACATTTGTAGGTCATAGAAGCAAAGCATTCCACAGTGATGGAAAAGTAGTTGAATTTTACATCAAGCTTTTAGTTTGAGACCAGCTTTTTCAGTTGCACCCTTTTAATAGACCAGGGAGAACACAACAGCAGCTTCACTGGCAGAGTTAGAGGTGAAGGACATCGCTCAAAAACACTTCAACAATGCTTAGTTTAAGAAAAAAAAGGGATGTTAATTTTTCATTTTGCCTACTGGGTTTCTGCCAACAGCTCTGAAGCTTTAAACCACTGGCCATGTCACCACAGCAACCAAGATTAAATTAATATCACTCCACTGATTTATAGGTGATGAGTGTTGTGATATTCTTACCAGTTTAGTTATGTCATAGACAATGACAGCAGCAGCCGATCCTCGATAGTACATAGGTGCTAAAGAGTGGAACTGAGAAAAGACAACACATTAAAAGCAGTTTTATAGCATTTCTATAGCAAAGTCATGCAACAGTATCACTAAAGATGGAGAAATAATATTACTTGAATAACCTCCTATGACCATTATGATTAATCTAATCATTAATGTGAAGCCAACCTGAAAACTTAAAAACCCATAACCCATAATAACAAACAATATACTGTGCTATGATTTTACTGTTATGAGTGGCTGATGATAAAAGCTTCTTCCTCCCATGTTTCAACTCTGAAGGTCGATCCAGTGTTTAGTAGAAATGGTCTCATAGAGAACCTTTTGCAACTTTATATAAAATGAACAGGCTCTAATTGGGCCCCATGGATACTGCACATTACATTAAAGCAACACTATGTTATTTTTACTGAGCAACAGCGCCCTCTGCAGCCACGCGTAGTGATTTGATTCAGCTCTGTTCGGTTTTCAGAGAAGAGTTGCAGTGAAAAAACAAAGCCTATCAATGTGTTGACTGAAGCTCTGACTGTGTTGTCCCACTCACTGAACTGGAACACAACTGAAACTATATTACCCATGATCCTCATCTTCCCAAACCAGCTGCATTAACAAATACACCAAACTATGTTTAGAATGTTTTCTATGTTGACAGTTTCCTGGCTGAATATTGGAGTTTTGATTAGTCTCAAAAATAACATCCAGTACAAACAATATGAGCGCTCAGTCATCAAATTAGAACTTTCAGAGTGTCGTTATTGTACATGCTGCCTGTGATTATAGTAACATCATCTTGGTTGACTGCTGTGACTAATAAACTACCCCAATAGTAGTAGTTTATTCAAATTTTTGACAGTGTGTGAAGTTGTTGACAGATATTGACCGAGATGATGGATCAAGATGAGACTCAAGTGTGATAAATGTAATATTAGTCCCACATTTACGGAGCACGATGAACCCTGGGAACGGAGGTCTCAAGGTGTCTTTTTCACACACAAGCAGGAAATACTAGTTATTTTATGTTGTAAGCAAGTCCGGCCTTCATCAAATCAATCTCTTTGAGGAGACCACAGTCCTGTGACCTTTAAACCTATGGTGAATCATCCTGTTTCACACCCAATAATAACTCCATGTCATGTGGACCTCTGACAGTGAGGTGATTGTGTCACTGTTAGCTTCCTGATGCAAAGTATGAAAGAAAGATTGACTAATTTTTTAAAGTGTGACTCAGGGAATCATGTGTGTGTCAACTCAGAGGTCAGAGTGAGTAAATTAAGACATATGTGTTGGATGAACTCACCCTTTCCTGTCCCGCTGTATCCCAGATCAGAAATTTGTGTAGTTCGTTTCCACATGGCACTGTCTTGGTCAGGAACGATGCTCTGTGGGGGACACAGTGCTTTTCAATTTATATTTGTAAGACACAGGAAACCACACAGCACTGAGTGTCCAAGCCAGACATTTGCCCACTATGCAGTAAACTAGATAACTGCCATTTCATGCATCTTTAATTTTTGCATTACACTGCTCCCCACAGGTGAGTTTATTTTGTGTTTCAAGTATTTTAGTTGTATGTGACTGATCTACTACTGTTCTGGTCTCTCAGGATCTGAATTGTGATGCTCTTACCCTATTGTGGGACTAATGTTGTGGTCAAAGTGATCCTGAACGAACCGGCAAACAATACTGGACTTCCCTACACCAGTGTCCTGTAAACAGAGGGTTACAAGTCATTCAAAGCTCTCCCAACACCCATTTAAACAGAGTCAATGCTCAGTATGGAACCATAGTGATTATGCAACTGTCTGGTCACATGCCTCTCCCATCAGATGTTTGTCCATTCATCCTGAAACTATCTCTGTATTCAAGTCAATATTAAGAAGACAAACTGTATCAGTCAGTAAAAAAACAAGTTACTTAACAAAAAAGATTACAATCTTTGGTTTGGTCTGATTTTGTCATCAAACAACCAACAGAACTGCAAATATTGAGACAGAGAAAAAACCCTGGATTCAACAGAGCAAGAGTCCGCGTGGTAGGGGTAGGGGCGGAGCTGTGGTAGCGAGGCCCTGCCGATACACATTCTTGACAAATCGTGAGTCTGTCCCAGCTTATAAATTTATCTAATGTGTGGGGTAGAGATGAAACAATTACCGGTTTCACTTTATACCATGGTAAAAATTCCTGGTGGTTATTTGTACCGTTTAATCTTTAATTACCGTGATGACTGTTCAGCACCAATCAAAGTCAGCAAGTCTCCAAGATAACAGGCGCAGCAAGCGCGGCATTTGTGGTGTGTTGTAAAAACAGGCCGAGGGGGAGAATTGTTAGAAAGTTATCTCTTGCTACTGCTGACAAATGCTAACATCCACTTTAACCACATTGCTGATATTCAGTCCCGACTCTTGACATTTGGAGTCGCATGTTATGTCCATATAAAACACAGTTTTAATGTTACCAAAGTTTAAGCATCATTTTTGTACATTCACAGCAGATTTTAACAATACCGTGATAACACTGATGACCGTGATAGTTTGGTTCACTATAATTGTGATACAAAATTTTGACACCATTTCCCCTCTAGTGTAGTTCTTTAGCTTGATCCATGTCAAGTCTGCTAACACGGAGGAGGTGCGGTTTAGGGCCTATACTGCAGCCAGCCACCAGGTGGATATTGAGACACTTTGGCTTCACTTCAGGGGAGCAGTCATGTCGTCCATCTTTGAAATGTTAAGTTAATAATTAGGACCAATGACGGATTATCTCATCTTATAGTTTTATAAACAAGGTCACCATCTTTTGATTGAAACTCATTTTTATTTTGGCTTCATGGCATTTAGGATTCATGCTCTGCTTTTGGACACCTCCAATAATGGCTGCACATAACTGAAATATGACTCCATGCTAACTTTAGACCACCAGGGTAGTGACAAAACATTAGCAAAGAGACTATATGTGTATTAATAAGAGTTGTGAGGATGAGCTAGGTGGAGCTAGCAGTAGAACCAGGTTTAAACGGAGGGGCTGTGTTTTGCTAACGCAGCAGGAAGTTGGAGGTCGCTTCAACGATGACGCAATGAACCATAAACTGACAGAAGCGTTGAAACAATGAGACAAAAGTTAACAAATGACCAAATGAGTTGGTTTTAAAGGCGAAAGTTTGACGCAGACGAAAAGAAAACGAGGCTAAAAATGAAAATGCGGCGCCCACCGGTCGATTAGCTGAAGGTTCTTCACTCCGACTAGCTGACGGGAGATACAAGTGTTCCGACAAAGGTCACATCACGACGAAGTTTGAAATGAAATAAATGCGAGAACGTGTTGTTTACGTCGACATCTGGTCTCAGGCGCTGCAGACTGGAGGAATTCAGCCCCAGAAAAAAGTGGGTCGGCAGAAACATCTGTAACTTACCCCCAAGAGACAGACTTTGAGCTCCCTGATCGCCATGTTGGGTCGGGACAGTCCTCAGATCATTTCTCGTCGGTGTCTCGGTCACTGTCTCTGTCTGCACATGTTCGAAGGTGCAGATTAATTGTCCCCTTGTTGATAAAAGACAAAGTGAGCCGGTGACACACTGAGCAGCTCCGCCGGAGGCAGCCGCGCTAGTGGAAGACTCCACTTCCGCTGAGGAGTTTCAAAATAAAACTCCACTCGCCCTCCACACGCTGCGTGAAAGAGAGGAAATAAAAAGTGATGGAGAGTAACGAAACTTTTCTGAACTTCTGTTCTGTGGTACTTTATATATTTATATACTGGATTTTAGAGGGAAATGCTACTATTGTTATCATTATAAATGATATACCTTGTGTAGATTAGTGCCATACAAATAGAGTTATTATTATTATTACAATTACTATTACAACATCATTAAATAAAATAAGATATTAGTATTATGCAGTGACACTGCCTCCTGGAGTAAGTAGAAGTTTACTGTCGGCGTTATTTGGTCAGTGTGGCTACTGTGACCACTTTATAATTTGGTTGATATTTAAATTCATATTAAGGTATCATAATTCATGCTATAGGTAAATGAAATCCAACATCATTACGTCAATCATAAATCATACAAATCAACTAGTAGTAGAGTAATATTTATACTTATATATTTTAAAATGTCAATCATATTCCACTGCTGCAGATACAAATAGTAAGACATTTAACAGTATGCTTTAGTTTTGAAGCAACACTTGGTTATTTCCTGTGTTTTCTGGCTGTTTTTGTTCTACTTGACGGGACTACTTTCCAGACCAGAAACCAGTTAAAAGAAGAAAAAAAGGGTCGGGTGGTTCCACTCTTTCAAACTGAATCATAAACTCAGTTAATTCTTCACAGTTCACTTCCTCAAAATCTGTATTTACGTCCTCATTAGTCTGTTACAGAGAAAAATGTTTAGAGAATGCGTAATGGAAAATATGAGCCACTAAATATTGACTTTACACTTCCCTTCATACATTTAAACTTTAGGTCAAAGAAAGAGGCCGGGGTTCAGATCAGTGATTCGGATTGACACTTTATTCTTCACAGCATTATTCTGTCTGCAACAATAAGCTACAAAAGCTCAGATCAATAAGAAAATAACCTTGTGAGAAGCTTCTCAGCCCGATCAAGCATTTCTCTGTTTCAGTCACAGGATTAATAAACACACTGGATCATGAGTCTCCATGAGTTTGTTTCGATTTGCCCGTGACCAAAGCAAATGCAGTCACACTCACATACTTCATACAGGTCATTAATTAAAAAAGACAAAACATAAGAGCCGGAAATACAGTATGTTTGCAATATTACAATAATATACAGATGCAGCAAAGTAAGCCAGGCCATGCTATTGACAGTACTTTTACAACAGTCATGGATCGGCTGAGAAATGAAATGATTGAGTTGGTTGCGTTCACTCACGGCCCAATGTTGTCATAAGTAATAACTCCACACAAGAGTTAAACAACCACACACAAACAAATACACAACAACAAAAATGAGCCTACACATTTGTTATACCGTCGCAACACTGGAGGAATGTTTCCTAGTAATATGATTGCACTACTAAGTGTTGCCTCCAGCTGTTGGTCTACGTTTGCGGTGACGTTTTTTCCTGTGTATTTGTTTGCCGTTTCATCCACTGGTCAGCTGTGACATACGACACCAAAGCTGTTCCAAGGAAAAGAAAGCATCTACAATATATTTATACATATATAATCATATATTACTAAAAAGCACTAATTTAAAATCAATGCATTTGTTGAATAGTCATTTGTATTCTTCAGAATACTACTTAAATATACAATATATAGATAGACCAATCATAAATTCTTCATAATTCAAAGAGCTTTTTGTGTTAGTGGTTCTCTGGGGGAACGCGTCCAGTCTGGCATCTTCAGGTATGGCACAGTGGTCTCTGTCCTAACGTGAGAAATTTCAGGGTAAGGGACAAAACAAGTTACAGGGACTGAGATTATTTCTTGAGCCCTCACCTGTAAAAATAAACTTTCTGTAGTCTACACTCTCTTACAGCCCCCCCCTCCCCTCATACAGGCTTGGCACTGTGGATTTGAAAATATGGCCCCCCCCATCGTCTCTCACATCCGTCGCCAGCTGTCCACCAGCAACTGCTCTATTTCTTCTTCTTATGTACTTTGTGGGAAAATGAGAAGGATTTGTGCTGAGAGTCGGGGAACCAAAGACGATGGACATATAAAATATTTTTACATGGCTGTCCCTCTGTGGACACAATCAATCATGAACGCACTGATCCAGCAATGTGAAATCTCCAGTGGATGACGAGTGATGCTAAAGGACAAGTGACCAGCGGCAGAGACGTCGCAGACACGTCACATGTTGGTGTCTCTCCTGTCTTTGCCTGGCGAGGGCTTCGATGGATCCTTAGCTGCCTTTCCATTGGCTGAGGCAGTCGTGTCGGTGCCAGCAGTCGCTGTGATGACAGGGCGTTTGGCCTGCTCCTCACTGCGAGCCTCCGGGCTCGGCTGAGGGGGTGGCACCTGCTCGGCCGGCGGCTGAACAGTCAGTTCCTGCTGCAGTTTCTGGCTCTGCAGGAGGCGAAGCTGGACGCGGAGCTCCAAAATGGCTTCCTGCTCCTCATGGATGGCCTGGTTCAGGTGAGTGTTCTTGTTCTGCAGGACCCCAAAACGTAGACAGAGCTTAAGAAACCCAGTTGTTCACCCAGGAAGTGAGTAAATACAGAGCTATTGTGTTCGGAACAGCCAATGTTTACCAGTGGTTTTGGTCTCACCTCTAGTTCCTCATTTTGCTTCTGCAGATCTTCCAAAATCATCTGCAGCTCTTCCTCGTCTTCACTTTCACTTTCACTGTCCGACGAATATTCCTCTGTTTCACTGCGACCCTGCTGCCGACTGAGGATTAGACACAGGGCATGTTATATCAGTTGTGCGTCACATTAAAACAAATTTCCTGCTCAGAATGATTTCAGCCCTCTCTTACCTCTGTATATCTGCAATCTCTGCTCGCAGTCTCTCGATTTCTTCTTTCTCTGTAGCGATCTGTCTACGAAGCACCTGCTCAAGAGAGATTAGCTCCTCCTGCTCTGTCAGGATCTCATTTTCCTGATTGTGAAGAAGTGGGGTAAAACCGAGATTATTCCACCTCAGATTGACACATGTGAACACAAATGAGGAGTAAAACTTCTGCAGGATTACAAAACAATGTCAGGCTTTCATGACAGATTTTATGTGTATTTTTATTGGAATTACTCACCTGTGCTAAGAGGAGGTTAATAACTTCCTCCTCATTCTCAGTCATTTCCTCTTTTGAAACATCTTCCTTTGACAGACTCGCTATCTCCTGAGCTATTTTACTCTCACAATCCTAAAAACAGACAGTGGAAAGATTTAGAAAGAGCACAAGGGTCAGACATAATACAAATATTACTAATGATACATCAATAACAACTATCTGTTTATCGTTGTACAGTGGGGCACTAAACTCTATGGTCGTTTTTGCGACCGTGGTTAGTGGTGTTGTACAAACTAATCCCACAATACTACTTGATAGTAGTACTGGAGTGTTCTTAAACCATAGCCCATTGGAAATACAGTACAAGCCCCAGAAATTAACATTAGAAATGTCAATGAACAGGCAGCTGCTGACAATGTGTTATGACTAAATCTTAATCTAATAAATTAAACAGGAAAAGACTTTGATAAACATAAACACACAACTTACCTGGCGTTTGGCCTCCCTCAGTTTGCGTTTAAGAGCCGTCAGGATTCGCTGAACTTCCCAGAGTCGCTCTTCTTTGGACAAGTCCTTCACCCCCGCCTGCAGGTCCCTGTGCAGGCAGTTCAACAGGAACTCCTACAATACACATGTTTGTTACAGGTTACAATACAGGTGACACTGAAATAAAAAACAAGTTGAATAAACACAACAGTAAAAATTTTCCAACTCCTTAATCATAAACAAATAGAAAAGTGTCTCTTTTCAATTGTATTCAAACGTCACATTTCCCTTGTATCCTCCCTTATGAAAGGCAGACTGGGCAAGCCAGAAAATATTTTTAAAGAGTCACATTACAAGTCCCTGTGGTATTTTATTTAAGAACATCAGCATCCAAGATATCAAATGATTCTTTTATTTTTCCATCAATTGATTATGTCAGTCAAAGAATGAACTAAAACTGAACCCACCTGTCGTCTGATCTCCTCCTTGATGTTCTCCTGGGTCTCGGGCAGCGCCGGCATCGTTGCCATGTTGGACCAGCGGAGCGGTCGCACCACCTGCTTCAGCACTATGTCTCCAAACAGCTCCGTCACGTGTGTGAAGAACATGTAAAGAACACGGTTCCCAATCTGCAGACAAGGTAAATGAGTTGGTGAACACAAAGCACCGCACACACTGCAGCTGTGTGTGAATCGTCTGTTCAGTTTGAATTTGTTTTTGTGTTATTTACTTGATTGAGTTGAATTCGGACCCCACAATTAGTTGAAAGTGTCTATTTAACAGTGCTGAGGCTGCTGCTGGTTTAGAATAAGTGGAGCAGCTACAGAGATTGTCCCCTGTGGGAATAAATTAGCTTCCCTAAACTAGGCCAGGGTTTCTGAGATGAACTGACAGTTTGATCCAATAAAAACACACTTGGTTTGTTGCTAAGGGAGAGTTTCTTATTTTTAACGTACATTTGAGCCAGAGCCAAATTCCATATTTTTCTATTTGATGATTATTTTGCCTGTTGCTGCTGATATACTGCTCTCTAGAACATTTCCTCATCTTTTCCCCTCAATTCCCTCCTCTGTCTTCTTTCACTCACCTGTATGGTCGGGTTGAGGACGATGGAGATGTTCTGAATGTTCATCTTGGTGTCAGCCTCCCTGACGATGACGTGGTCCATGTGAGTAATGAGCCAGGAGAGAAGAAGTCGGCTCTCCGGTGACACCTCGGATAGCAGCCTATGGAACTCTGTCATCTTCTCGGCCTCCACCTGCCGACCGCAGGCGTCCTCGAAGCGCTGGGCCAGATCTCTGCCCAATAGATTATCAGGCAGCTCACGGAGGTACTGCTTCAGGAGACTGGCAACCGTGTGGGGGTCATACTCCTCCAGACAGGGGCACTCCTCGCGGTCGTATGCTGCTTTTAATTCATCCACCTTCGACTTCATACCTTGATCAATCACACGCAAATAATAAGAAAAACGTACAAATATTTTTAGCATATTTTTAACTTATTCACCAAAAGTTTCTTCACCTGAGACCCGGTAGATGCCCTCACACTTCATGCCATAATTTTCGATGTAGTCCACACACTCTCTGAAGATGGCTGGCAGCTGAATGCCATCATACAGAGCTGTCCTCTTGACAGCTTCTGTCAGGGGAGCTCCAAAGATTGGCCTGAAGGTGGGGATCTCCACTGGGACTGGCTCTGCCTCCGTTGTTGGTTTCTTCTTCTTCTTCTTTTCTTTCCACTGCTTCACCACATCTGCAGCCGTCAGGTCCTTGGATTTCTTATCCTTGGCCTTGTCCTCCTTGGGGCCCTTCTCCTTCTCCTTTTCCTTCTCCTTCTCCTTCACCTTGAAGTCCTTTTCCTTTTTCTTGGAGAAGCTCGGCTTCTTGAATACGTGGATTCCTTTGGAGCGCTTCATCTTGGACGGGCTCTCTGCTTCATCTGCTGAACTGTCCTCCTGGAAGGCGGCGTATCCTTCCGCTGTGAGAGTAAAGAGGAGCAGAGGGAGAAATAGCGTTAGATTTGGGGGGAGAAACACCCCTGTTTTCTTATCCTCCTCTTACGACAGAACTAGGATATCAGTGAAATAGAGGCAGGAAGAGAGATGTATGAGAGAGAAGATAGAGGAGGGGGGGAACGGGGACTGGAAAAAGAGGTCAACCACCGATTTAGCATAGCTCCCACTGCACCTTACGCCTCTCGTCTCCAGATCCAACTATATTTAAACATTTTCCCTCAGTGCACACTTCCACAGGATAGTGTCAAACACAGTTTTTCTCCTCTAATTATCTCTATCTGGGTTTCCCCCAGATTGTGCACTGTGTATCACACCGTTGCGTGCAACACACCTTCAAGAGGATCTCTGGGTGTGCCCTGAAACTGTCCATCTCTTGCTCTTTCACCACACCCTGGTGTAGGAGCTAAATACAGAAATGGAAAAATCTAGATACAAAATCGGTAAAAAGGGCCTGACCAGCATTCAGTGAAAAACATTTTCAGTAAAGGAGGATTTCTCACTGCTAAAGATAACAACAGGATGGAAGAGCAGGAAGCTCTTCATTTACTCCCCAGCTACAAGTGAGGACGCATCCACTTCTCCACTGCTCTATCGTAAAGAACATTTTGTCTAGACTGATTAATGGGCCGTCTGATAAAATCAGCTTTGGATTGGAGCCTTTCAGACACATTAGTCTCTGCATTTGTGTTTGCAGATATATATATATATGAGCTGATATGGCATATCAGACATTTTTTTTATAATATCTCTATAATATCGGTATCTCTATTGTCTTACAAAAAATTCAAGTCAGGTTCTATCACTTTCCCTCGTGAAATAAAAAGAAAACATGTAGTTGTAGCTCAAAACAGACTAACAATGCTGCATTCATACAGACACCTATATGCCTATAATTAAAATTACTAGTCCCTAGCATGCTAACCATCTACTGGCTCAAAACTTCAAATATAACCTCCTAATTTATGCTACTAAATTAGATTACAGTTTGAATCTGCAACATCTAATTTTCAACATTTTGTCCAGATCATGAGCAAAGTCTGTTAGTGTCATTTTTGATTAATTCCAATGTCATTAATCAACGTTAAAATTTAAAATGGCAGAATCATGTCTTACTCCTTTTCTCTTTCTTCTTGAACTTGTTCTTCTTCTTGCCGTGCTCTTTGTCATCATCTGAGACGTAGGCGTCAGGTGCCTCGTGATGATGATGATGATGGCCATCGTGAGGTGGCGATGGTTCACCGGTGCGATACAACCCCGGGAACTTGGTGGGACTGATCTCTTCGGAACTGGGGGTGCGTGCCACGCCCCCTGGGTGCTCAGCCCTGCGCTGCTCAGCGGGGCTGCTGGTGGGGGGCAGGAAGCACTCAGTCATGGCTACGGTGGCCTGATCACTCTTCTGGCTATGTGCACATCACCTCTCCATCACACCTGTAGTGAGAAGAAATGTAAGATACTGACGCAACGTAAATGAACATCTGAGCTCTCAAATAATCTGCTACGGCTTAGATCAGAGCAGGTCGACATCTTTTCAGGACTAACACAGTTTTTATTTATGTAACAGGGAGAAATGTTGTGATTCTGGTCAACGATGTAAAGCATTTTTTAACTTTCTCCTGAAAAGTGAATTAATAAAGTTTTTAATTATTATATTTGTCTTTGTTGTTTCCTGAATACTTTGATACGAAGCCATAAACAGAACAACTGCAGCAGTAAAGTCCACCCACCAGATGGGGCTCTGCCATACGAACAATCACATCCTCCCTGTCTTTCTTCTGATCTCGACATTCAACAACAATTCAACAGTCTCTGTGATTGAGACACAGCACTGACGAGTGTAGATTAACAGATATTTGATTATCCGAAGAGCTGGAAGGTCAAAATCATGTGTTTTTTCTTTCTATCTTAATTTCTTCTTTATCTGTACAGGATCAACAAAACATATTAATTATTCATCTATTTCACTTGTTGGCATTGCCTCATATCCTCGACCATCCCACTCTAGCAAATGTTAAAACACAAAGCTCATATTAGCAGAAGTGACTGTGTGAGGTTACATGTGAATCAAAAATCTACAGAAAACTAAATATCAAGAACGCAAAATAAAATGAGTTACATCCAGTCTGAGACCAGGTTAACTGGATCCTACTCTGAATGTGAAAAGAAATGTGAGAGGAGAATGATTCCTGCGTTATTTTAATGTGTTAACCTTAAATGTATGTTGAGGTTAATATCAAGAGGAATAAAGTTTATATCATAAACAAACTTAAAACAACATTAAAATACATTTGACAGCACAACTTGAACATAATATTGCTTCTGTACTTTGACTTTCACGGTGTTCTACTGAATAACCTTGAGATGTTTGTAACCTGAGGAAGGAGAAAGGATCGATGCACTTCTGTCATCACACAGATAGCTTCTGTATGATGGGGGCCTATGGGTGTGGCAGCCATTTAGAAGTACCTTGATGAAGTACAGACCCAGATCTAAATAACTACAGACAGTTTGTGGTTTTGAGTGTGTTGTTGTTGTTTATGAACGATATTCTTTTGTGTGAGCTTTTACTGAACTCCCTCACGTGTGAGAAATAGATCCACTGACACTTTTACCTGTGAGGGGAGGAATGTGTTTTTAAAGGAGAAACTAGGATGTGCCCTGTTGTTTACGGTTGTTTTTCCAGGTTTCACTGTGGGTGAACACTTTCTACCAAGAACGCAGACGTGAAACTAGTTCAATAAAACAACAAACACTCACTGTCTGAACTGAACTCTCAATATAAACTAGTTCTCTCGTCTGGTTTCCTAATCTTCCTTCGCTGTGGGGAGATTAGCTTCACGGTTTCCTGCCTCTGTCCTGTTTCCAGAATCAATCTGATTCAACACAACCACTCACATCGCCCCTCTGCTGTTGGAACACCATGTGAATACAAGTGAATCCAGATTAAACCCAGCGAGGAGGAGGAAGCTCAGCTCTGAATGAAGGGGCCCATAACGAAACGTTACTCCGGCCAGCTGCCGACATGCTAAGCTAACCGATTAGCCTGCCTGTCCGCGTCAAAGCGGCTGCGTGGTCCAGACCAGACTAACGCGGGTTAGCGCAGTTAGCTGCAGATGCTAAACGCTCTTCCGAGCCCCGCAGTGCTGTCGACGAACGAGCAAAACACAAAAGACGAGAAACTTTACCAGCTTCTGTCCCGTTCGGCCAGTTTCCCCCAGCGCAGCTTCCGGATGTCTGGATGCTAAATAAACCCGTCTGCGCCTGCGCGGCCGCACCGATGCACGCCGGGAGATGAAGTCCTACAGGGAATACCTGAGTTCCTCGAGGAAATGTGGAGTTTACGTAAGTTTTACTGCCCACGTATGATCTGGGATTCACTAAGGATGTTCGGAATGCGGTGGTTCAGTTTTATACGAGACTGTGGAGAAGAGAAACAAACTCCTGAAACTTTATTCGTCTGAATTAGTTGGAAACCAGGGCCGGAGCTGTACATTTGAGGGCCCTGATAAGTTTGGGGGACCTTCCTCACAATGGATAGACCACCTCCAATGTGCACTTATATTCCTTATTCATTTGAGGATATTAGTTTAAACGGATAATTCACCCACAAATGTAATACAATAGAAGTAAATGGTGACCACTTCTTCAAACTTGAAAATGTTAAAAAAAAAAACAATTATCACTAAGCTCATTCAAATTCACGCTGCGAAAAGGCCCAGGAGCCTCAGCTGTTCCCAACTTATTTTAAACACAAATAGTTATTTGTCTGGTAAATATTACATAATGATTTCACTGTGAGTCATTCACTCACTGGGGGAGGTACACCGTGGGGAGGGGCCCCCGCCTCCTGCATCAAACAAGACCCATAAAAGAGTCTCAGTAGTAAATATTACATTAGCAACTCATATCCAGTGTATGATGTAGGATTTTGGGCACCCCCCCCCCCTTGTGGCTGTGAGGCCCTAAGCAGCCGCTTGGTTGGCTTACAGGAAAGGCGATCTCTGGTGGAAACCACTTGTTATTCTGAATCATGTACTTTCCCAAACGTTGTGGTGGGACCCAGAGGCCCGGTGGTCATCCTGACATATGAAACACATTCGTCATCTGCTGTGGTGGAAAGTAACTAAGTACATTTACTCAAGTAGTTTCTTTAAGCACAAGTATGACACACTCGGAAATGAAATATTAAAGTTTTGAGAAGCTTTACACTTACATTCTGCAACATTAGAAAAGTTAATATTGACCTTTTTTCTCTCCACTATATTTACATCTAACATCAAGTTGCATTAGAATGTGAGAGTAAGTATAAACATGGTTAAATTAAGCCAGTGGTCTCTTCCCTCTGTGGCTTGAGACCATTACAGGACATCTGTGTGTACATGGGGTCAGATGTTTTCTGAGTTGTTCCACCAACTAAACTTTCAGGTGCCAGGACAATATTCATACTTTATTGCATGTGTGAAAGCAGAAAGTGTATTTCCTTTATATTTTTTTGAAACCCTGAGGTAAAATATTCAATGGTAATAATTTGTTTAAAAAAAAAAGCAGAACATTTTCTTCTTTCCTCTTCCTTTCACCATCTCACGTCCCCTCAGGTTTATCCGAAGATCATTTGCAGAGGCCTCCCTCCTAAGCTGGGATCCACGGGACGAAACTTCCTGATAGATCACATTAATGTGGAGCACACAACAATGAAAAGCTGCACTGATGCGTCATCATCACCAACAATCTAATGATGCCAGTTAGAACAACTCACAGCAAAGGGAATGTTTTTATTTTGATCCTAACTATACGTTTTGTTTCTCCACTTTTATTCAAACTGGTAATTTCATGAAGAATTTGTCCTCAAAATGACGCATTTTGTTCCATTACTTAATATTTTGACTTAATTAAAAGGATCTGAATACAGTTCTTGTTCCACCACTGCTCTTCTGATCTTTGTTGGCACCGTCGGCTCCAAACCCACAGCTGCCGTGGCAAAATGAGGTCGTGATTAAAAATCATTAGAAAAAAGAAAGACAAACAGGCTCTCATTGTGTGTGTGTGGTACATTAGTCTGTGCAAACTGCTGTTGCATGCCAATTGGGAACAGAATCAGTGATAGGACACCCTGCTGCCTTTTTGAAAATGCACCAGCATTACAAAGAGTATTTGTGTGTGGCGGTGAGAGGTTGGCATCGGTAAACGTTCTCCTTTTCCCCTTGGCTTGCACGAGACGGTCAGTGAGCACTGGGACACCTGTGGACCAGAATGGTATAATAACAACTTTGTTTCCCCAGGAAATGATGCGTTTCCTGAGTCAGGCAACACCAGGCTAAGATTAGAGCAGGAGACAGGCAGCGGAGAGGACGAACATTTACTATTACACCAATCTGCAGCTCTTTACACATTTAAAAAATATATATAATATAGAACAGGAAGAGAAAATATTTGAAATCAGACTCTTTTCTCTGAGACTGAACCGTCCACGTCACCAAACTTTTCTTTATTTGGCATGAGACAGGGATTTAGCGGACCGTGATTGTAAAAATACATTATTCATATACACCTCTAGTAAAAAACACTATTGAAAACATATCTAAAAATATACAGTGAAATATAACAGCAGAATAAAAACAATTTGCAGGGGGTAGGAGGAGGGGGTGTAGGGGGTATTTTACAAGATAACTGAGGAACGCTAACACACAATAGTCATAGTTCCCTCTGCCCTCAGTCCTCTGGTATCGCCCAGACATTTGGTACCAATATGTGCCCGCGCTTCAGAAGAGACAGTTCATGCACTTCACCGCCTTGCTGCCGTAGTCCACGCACTCGGGCCCGATGCACTGGCAGCAGGCGTTGTGAAACCAGCGGTACTTGGATCCTCCCATTGACTCACAGTAAAGTTTACACTGACGGATAGAGACGCAGTCGTCAAAGTAGACCACGGTGCACATGTTCTCTGAAAATGAAAAGGGGACAGACGTTAGTCACAAATCCAGTAAAATGTGGTTTGTGAAAACAAGCACCGTCTTTAAAGTAATTACCTTTAACCCTCAACGTTCCTACTTTTACTTCAGGGGTGAAAAGAATTTGCCACAAATAAGTACGACCATATGTTTTGATGGGTTTAATGAGTTGACTGCTCGGCTCTGCTGGAACGCTCCTATTATGAGCGTGTCTTTATAGCAAATAGCACTGGTTTAAAGAGAAAAGAGAGGCAACGCCAAAAACAGCCACAAATGAAAATAGAAAATGCCAGAAGAACAACACTTTTAACCCAGTTACATTTCCCTTCTTCTGGCAGCACTGTTGCTCTGGAACGATGGAAATCTGATCCAACCCAAACTGGTCTCAGCTCAAGACTTTGTAGTCTGCTTCTGCTCTGGGGTCGGGCAGGATTCTATTACCATGGTGAGCAGGGATGCAGATGAAAAATGTGACTGGATCCGAAAGGACCAGAAAACTGTGCGATCGGAAGAAATGGGAGCGAAACCTGCATTTTCTCATGTGGTGTGAAACTCATTCAGAAACAAAGATACAAAGCTCAGAACCACCGTGAGGCAGCACACTATCAAACTGCAGTCTTTCTAAATCCAGCTCCGTCACGAGCACCGGATGTCTTCTCCAAAGTGACTGAAACTAAACAATGACAGACGATCACGAAATACTTCTAAATAATTCCTACATTTACCTTGAGTGTCGTAGCTGGCGTGGATGCTGTTTCCAGGCACGGACACGTTCTGGGGCTGGTTGTCGAGCGACTCCAGGAAGGACACCAGGTTCTCGTGGTGGGAGAGCTCCTCGGCGACGGGGAAGGACACGACCATCATGTTGACCGGCGCGTCGCCTTCTGTTAGGGCGCGGAACAGCGAGGGGATCGGGCGGTGGAGCTCCTCCACTGTGCTCTTTGACGTGGCCGGAGAGTCGCTGTAGTTCTTGGGGTTACACATCCCTGACAGAGAGAGAGAGAGAGAGAGATGGAGGCCGACGTTAAAGAGTCACTTCACCCACAGTGTTAAAAAAAAAAAAATTCTCTCAATACCTTTAGTGGCAATACAGTCAAATAGTTTTAGATTTGCCTCCCAGAGTGATTCACTGTTTAATTATTACTTATCTCAACACTCCTGACTACAGACTCCAAACTAAATTCCATTGCATTAGTTTGTGGCCTCAGTTAAAATCTCCTCACAGCAACCAACAAAATTATCTAAAAAAATAAAACACACAAATATTCACATTGCATTTATTCACACTGTAAATTCTGTTACTTTAATTATACGTTACGTTATTATTGTGGACAACATTTTAATTTGAAGAATTTGCCGAGAAACATGAAAATAAAACTTGTCATATCAGGAAACATAAATCCAGATACTGAAATGTTCATATTGTCAGATTTTATTGCCCAATCAGTCTGATTCTAAAAGCGGGTGTATTATTGGTGTTATAAGTTTAGTTAAATTCTTCTTTATTAACCTCCCACACATATACACAATATTAACCAGTAGTTAGTTCCAGCCCTGACTTCTACTTCTTCTGTAAATCAGTGGACTGACCCTTGAAGCACAAAGTCAAAGCAGGAGGTTTATTTGCAAAACATAACTTTTCAGCCCATGAGGCCAGTTAAGTAAAACCACAACGCTGTGGAGAGTACCTCGACTCCATTAGGGTCTTTTTAACACTTCATTTAATTTCCATATACAGTAGTAATGACTTGACAAAGTCCCCACATCCTCTGATATTATCTTTCTAACTCGTTAAATGAGTCCAAGTGAATTATAGCTAATGGATAAATCATTTAATGAGGAGCGGAGTTTGACAGAGGAATTGGATTACAGAGCCGAGCTACAAGCAGAGCCAGAGCAGCTGTTTTAGATAAAGCATACACATGGGTGCTCCCTCTGTGTCCTCCCTACCTCCACCCTTCCTCGAAAATACAAACTGTCCTCCCCTCGCCGCTCCTCCGCTGGACGGCCCTACCCACTCGCGGATACACACTTCAAAGAATCCAGCGTTTGGCACAGATAACATGTTTCGAGTGGAAACTTACTTAAAGTGGTCATAAGGTTTGCGCTGCAAGAAAAACATAAAAACAGAGAAATGCGTTCACATGCTCTGAGCTACAGAGCGTCTGCAGTGTATTGTAAGTGTCCAGGAGGAAAACTCCACTGCTGCAACATCTGCAGAGCAGAGAGGTTCGCCGCTCGGCGTCTGATGCTTGTATTTGTGTTCCACATGAAAGAGCTTTAATAAAGCCTCCTTGTCAGCACATACAGTAATATCTGTCAGTCAAAGCTGATCTGAGAACCGGCTGGTGTGCAGGGGTGGGGCCACACCCTCACCCCCCCCTATTTTACAATAGTCCGAGGCCCTGCTGTGACCTGGCATTAACATCTGTCTCAGGTGATCTGAAAACAACTCTACAGGTACGACTGCACCCGAGACACATTGAGGTCACATCACTCAAACACACAGAGGTGGTCTGTATGTCCTCTGGGAACACAAATGTAACCATGGCCACTTTAAAGACCACCCACTCCACTGGCGTCCGCCGCCACTTTACCCATATATTGATAAAATCAACACCGACCACCACGTTTCAATCATCTGTCACAGTCACACTGGCTAAAAACAACATTCTGGTCTATGTGACAGCGGGAGATCTGATCACAAGTCGTCACTGGAGACACATTCTAATGCCGGGTGTTGAGAGACAGACAAGACGGCGGCGTGTGAAACGACTACAGCTACAGAAAAACAACCAAAACAGACACAAAATGACAACAAAGATATACATAGCAACAATAAGGGGACCAGCGACCACAGAGACATAAATATGACACACAAATCAAGACATCAAGCAACCGCAGCCAATCATTTTACAACTTACATAATAAAATGTACTTGTAGTGGACAATGAAAGAAATGAAATGACCACACGCAAAGACAAACAAGGCAACCACTATGAAACACAAAACAGCCACAGAGACACAGACTGAGACAAAATTTGACACACGAAACAGGACATGAAGGGACCACAACAAGTGACACACAGCAAAGTGTCATTTTACAACTCTTCACACAAAACGTAGTGGAATGTAAACTGACGAAATGCAAAGAAACCGCAATGAAACACAAAACAACCACAAAGACACACAAAGTGTGACAGGCAGTGACACGAAATGAGTAATAAATATACAAAGAGATGCAGAACAGGCAGCAGACAACACACGAAATAACCACAAAGACACAAAATGTGACAGAAAATGATGGAAAATAAGGAAAATTGCTGCAAAAACACAAAATAACCACGGAGACGCAACACGACCGAGAGAAACCAGGACTACTTTGTAAATAAAGATCATCTCCGACAACCAGTCAAGACGAAGTTTATATCAATGTTTGTCCAGACTTGTATAATATATCATATTAGTGTTTATAACTACATCCCAGTGACTTTAGACGACTTCATCAAACCTGAAGAAAGTCCATCAACGTTTCCTTTGTGTTTCCTGAGGTTTATGAAAATGGGACGGACAGAAAAGTAAAATCTCGATGCCTCCTCGTGTTTTCATATTTCACAGATAAGTCAAACTGGATGTGGACCCCCCGCTGCAGCTCGGCACCAGGTTGAAAGTGAGAGTTCATTTCGGCGGGTTGACCCCCCCCGACAGCTCCACCACCCTCTGATCTTATGAACGACCTCGACACTTCCTGTCCACATGTGCTGGTGCTTCTCAGTCCGGTCAATATTCCTTTAATTTCCTGAGCTCTGCTTCACATCAACCTTCACGCTGACACTTCTCAGAGACACGTTGACGATGTGGACTCGCTCACCTCACACTCGTCTTGTATCAGAGCGGCAGCGCTCTGAACCGTCAGACTCCTCCGCTGACAAGTGCGTTAAAGCTGCCGTCTCATTTTCTCTCAGGATTTTTTACAGAGGGAAGGAGCTCGGCTGTGAGGTGACAGATAACAAGACTGCTTCTGTCAAAGCTACGCGCAGCACTGATTTGTATAATGGTTTCTATTTTTATTTTGTGTATAACCACAATTGCATTGCGCCACAGTTTTCAGACTATATTGCAGCCAACAGAGTTTCCAAACTTCCAGCAGCTCAAACGCTCTAGAGAGAGTAACATAGTGACAGTGATGAGATCTAAGAGTCAAACCTGTTGCACTGTCTCGGCTATAAAACATGTTAATGACAAATAAGTCCGTGCACTCACCCACGCAGTCGCAGCACTCTTCCCAAAGGTTCCCCAGACACAGCATGCACTCTTTACAGCAGGAGCAGTTCCCGTCAGTCGGACGACACTGGCACAGCTCCTGCAGGACGACACGGCCACACGTCAGCAAAACACACAACACTTTTGTTTAACAGAATATTGTGGATGTGTTGTGTTGAATACAAACAAGTCAAGTTCCAAGTTCATTAAAAACATGTTCTGCTTTTCTAACCTTGAGCTTTATTAGTGACCTTTTAATTACCTCGGTCCTTTTAGGATTATTCAAGAAATACTGAACATATTTCCAGAAAACTTGGTGAAAGGATGAGTCAAGAAAGAAACCATTGCATTTTGATTTGAACCTGGACAAAGAGGCAAATCCAGGAATCCCTTTGTGACATCGGGCGTTTGGGTTTTGATTTTAAAAGTCATGCATGCTGAGGGGACTGATATGATTGTGTGAAACTTGGTGAGGATCCAAATAAATATCTGTTGGTCCTTGGCAGAGGTGTGTGCTTTACTGGGCTCTATTCTAGAAACACAGTTATTTTAGGAAACTGTGAACTGTCTGTCTTGTATTGAAACTACACAACGAATATGTTCATAATAAAAGACCCGGGTCTGCAGCAGCAGCACGGATCACACAGTAGCACAGAGACAATGTGTGGACCAACTGTACGAACAGGAGACGTGCCATTAAATCATCAACAGCAGGTTTTCTTCAGGTACAGTAACTATTACACACAAGCTGCCGCAGGACGCTGTGCGCTGTACGTGGCTCTGATGGTATTTCAACAAGTATGTCATCGTCTCCGCAGAACACTCAGTGATAACACTTAAAAAAAAAAAAAAACACACACAGTAGACCTCCACTGCACCTCTGTTCACGGCAGGTTCGGACACGTTAACATTCAAATCATTTTCTTTTACGCTTTAATAGAAGCTGAGCAGCGTGAATGAATGAGTCTGACAGACTTCAGAGCAGATTCTGAGACTTTTGAGTCAAATTCATAAATAAATCTTCATTAGATGGAAAATCTGTTGTCGGGGCCCCACTGCCCCAACCATCACTCTAGAGCTGAGTGGCTTCTTTATTAGTCGACTGACGTAAAGGTAGTTGGGAATAACTGGAATAATTTATTAATTGGTTCAATCATCAACATTCACTGGCAGCAGCCTCTTAAATACTTCAGGTTGAAGGGACACAAATCAAACCACAGCATTTCAATCATCGAACATGTCTTATATCAAAACTATTTTTAAAAAAAAGGGCACACATAAATAATGGTATCATAATAAACATAATAAAGTTTAAGAGCAACCCCCCCCCCCAATTCCAATAAATCCCGATTGCTTCATTCACACACTTGGGAACACAGTTTTTAAAAACTCTCCGTTGCTTGTGACAGGAGGAAAGTTATTTCTGCAAACATCCCAAACCTCAGCGTCATTCCTCGGCCTGAGAGCAGCTCGTCTCCGGGGGAAGAACAGACAGCGAAGGAAACAGAACAGAAACGTGGAGGTGGGATTGAAAAGTGGGTGAGACTGCCGAAGGAGTCCCCCTCTCTCCCCCCCTGTACAGGGAGCACATTCCTTCAAGTCAAGGTCACCGTGATTGGGGAGGCAGCAGGGGGAGAAACAGGAGGGAGGGAGGGAAAAGAAAACACCTGGAGAACAGAACATGGCTGCTCCCCCCCCTCTCTCCATTTGTCCCTTGTTTTTTCCCTCCTTTCTTTCTCTACTCTCTCCCCTCGCTCTTCCCTTTTCCTTTCTGTCCTTTTTATTCCTCCCCCACACACACACACGTCTCTTTTATATCCTTGCAGAAGTCACCTCCTCCACATTAACAGTCTCGGCGATGATAAAAGACTCTCCAGTGACTCACCGGTGAGGGATTGCAGAACCACACACAGCTCAGTTAATCACCAGCCTCTCCATCCCCAAACCCCTGATCAACATCTGATCCCGGGAGTAATTACGACTCTCGGAGGTGGAATTATACAAAAAACTAAACGGCTGCCCATGGGAAAAGAGAAAACACGCATCTCTCGCATTTCACTAAACAGAAAATAAATGCTTTTTTAAAACCATCTCATGGAAACAGACATGCAGCCGGAGCTGTGCGGCTGTTTGTCGAGCTTATGTCTCGTTCCATTTCACCTCAGAGCTCGGCTGAATGTACGTCACACCCGATTACCCAGAGTTGATAGCGTTCCAGTTGCCCAGGAACAATGTTTATGTTGGCCAGCCAGATATTTTTAACAAAAACAGTTCATAATAACTCATCACACAGCATTTCACGCATAGTGAAACGTCCACAGAGGGTAACTGGACAATACTATGTGTACGAAACATTTAATGACTACAGCTTTCAATACTGTTGGAGCCATCTTGGATTAGGGAGGTTCCTCCGACTTTCCAAGTTAATATTCTGACTCGAGGCGGCGTTCCGGTTGCAAAGTCCGACTCCGTCTGTAATTCCGAGCTTCGAGGTTTACTTGAAGACACTGGACGAACTAAACACATTTTGAACTGAAGGCTACCACAGGTTCTCATGTTTAGAAGGGAAGGTTGGGGTGAGGGGCATTCAGCTGCAACGCGCAACTTCACCACTAGATGTCACTAAATTCCACACACTAAACCTTTAACGTGTTTGGGTTGTTGAAGTGTTTACTGGTCAAAAGAAGCAGTTCAATCACGTCGCCTCGGTCACTTCGGTAATAATTTTCGGACATTTGACTGAATTAACGAGCTACAGTCTAATCTTGAGTTGCGGCGTTTCAAACTGTTTCCTCAGTGAGATGAACGAGGTCGTCTCGGCCCCTTGAACGACTCCTATCAGGCTTCTCCTGCTACAAAGAGGAAACGACTGTGATCAGTCAAACCCGAGCCACAGTGAGACAAAACGACTCTGAAGGGAAAGTGAACATTTGCAGCCTCGTCAGATCGAGCGGCCGCCGCCGCTGCTGCTGCACTCACTTTGAAATCTGCTGCCCCGCCCTGCTCCACAGCCCGGCCTGCACAGTTTCAGAGCTGTCCTGTGAATCTCTGCACACTTCATGGCCTCCCAACACACACACACCTCCTCCTGACCTTAGCCTCCATTCCCTCCTCCTCCCTCGCTCTCCCACCCTCAGGGGTTTCGGGGGAATTCAGACAAATGACTTGAGATGGCAGCAGAGCGTGAAGGCGAGCGTCGGACAGCAGATCCCACTAATCACGAGCAGCGCAGAGCTTCTACGGAGGAGCTGGAGAAGTTTCTCCTTCACAGCACGAGCACCATCGCTCCGGCCCCTGACAGCTAGCGAGTTGGTGTCGACGGGGTCGCGGAAGCTACAGAGCTCGGTGTCCTGAGCAATGATTCATCAGGCGAAATAAGCCACCTGGAAGTAAAAGGAGAAAGAAGCGGAGCCACAGATGTTCTGTTGATAACAGGATGTTTGATTTTTTTTTTTTTTTTTTAACAGAGAGTGGGCAGTTCA